ACTACAGTGGACTGGCTTACTGAGTTTTGAACAAACATCAGATTTCTAACCTTACATGAGAAAGGTAACCTTACATTTTTATATACCAAACCAGCATAAAATACTAATTGAAAGACAATGCAAAAAAACCACGAGAAATGGGTATTCTCATCTGAAATGATTGCCTTCAATAACTGCTTCATATTAATACACATTTTAACAGTGTTGAAACTGCACAATCTTGGCCAAGAGGGCAGGGGTTCAAATATTCTACTTTTATGATAATATATTTAATTTATGTGGCTGATGTGGAGAGCATCTCTCTTATTTAAGATATATCTTTTGAGTTAAAAACAGTGCCTTTAAAGCAAAACCAAATGGATATTCTCTCATCACACCTATAAGATGTAAGGTGCGAGTAGGCTGGAGTGTTTGCTGATGTGCTGTTAACTGAGAAAGTGATTTGGGAGCTTTTACTGTTTTTTATTCACAAAATTTATCTAGGGCAAACAGACTGTCAAAAAAGGTCTTCTTGTATGTCCTTGAAAAAAGGGCATAATCCTAAGAGTGAAGATGGTGAGTTTTGCAAAATCCCATTTAGGTAGCTGTAATCTTAGAGGCTTTGTTATTCTTGGTTATGTTGGTTCCTCAGAATTTATGTAAGTGATAAGATAAACATTTTGTCAGTATCTAAACCAGATTTGTGGACTAACAAGGGTGGATTTTACATATTCATTGTTTTAGTCAATGAAGACTGTCCCTATGTCTCTTACTCAGAAATGGCTTAACAGGTTTGTGTCATTATTTGCTTTGAGACTGAAGATAATAAATTTCAGTCCTAAAGAATTTCTCATAGTAATTTATGGGCAAATCATAGCTGAGTTTTAGATATAGTTACTCAGAAACAAAGTCAGTATAATTACTTCATAAATAATTAACCGCAAAGGACAGTAACACTATATTAACAATGCTAGGCAGTATAAAATAGAGGATGGTATTAAAACGAGTGTTTGCCCAGTGCCTAACTCAGAGGCCCTAATCCTGATGGTAGCTTTTAGTTGTTTTTATCATATGAAAATGTATTCTTTATTGTGTAATATATTTCCTTTGACCTGTTTTTCTTTTAAATGTGTGTTTTTCATTTTAAGGGTTCTGGAAAGAAAACATTAGCTAGAAAACTAGCACAGATGTGGAAATGCATTTTCATAGAAGGTAAACATACACTATATTTGGCTTCATAGTATTTTTTGGTTTAGAATATCCTCACTCATAAAGACTACTCATAAGGACCAAGTAACCAATTTGCCAGAAATGCAATTGCTGAAAAGTGGCCTTTTAGTTATAGAGAGGTTTAGAATTTTTTTAATTTTTTTTTCAGAAAGGGATATATGTAACACATAATAATAAAGTTGTAGTCCCAATCCTGTAAGGTGATTCATGTGACCCTGCTTGTTCACATAAAAGCAACTCATTCAACACCAGAGAGCACAGAGATTTATTCAATACAGACCATGAAAAAAATATGAGAATCTTTCCTTTCTGTTTGTGCAGTGCCTAATACAAGGGAGGGATGTGCTCCAGGAAACAAAAAAGTATAGCTTTTGTATCAGTATAAGTAATAATGGAAGGAATGGGAGCTGACACTTTCAAATTTCTAAAACAAAAATATCTGATGACTTCCTTCTGAAGATGTAGTTAGATTCTCCCACCTTGCATTTACTAGAATATAAAATACCATTTTATTTCCTAAGTTATCCAGGTCCATTTCTGACAGTCTCTCTCATGAAAGATTTTTGAAGATCTGTAAAGTAAAACCTGTTGCTTACAGTATTATCTTATTCTCTATTAACATGTTGCTAGAGATTTATTTTTTTTAAATTTTGAGGCATCTCAGCAAGAAAGTATCTTCCTACAAAAAATAATTACATCTCTGACAGCTTTCTTTTGTACTGATTTTGTCAGCAGTAACTAAAAAACTTTTTAAAGCTGTGATTTTTTTTTTTTTAAGTCCTGGTAATATTTTTCTATCCGTGACATTATAATTCACGAATCTTCATTTGTTCACTTTATTTTTATGATAAAATAAAACTTTTACACCAGATTTGTCCTACCACTTTGAAGGCTAGTGTAATCTTTTTAAGTAGAAGAAAGCAAGCTCATAATAACCTCAACTATGAAGCAATTTCTTGAGTGCCTCTTTGGGGACACGAAATTCTAAATCTGATTTTATGGTAAATATGTGTACAGTTGTTCTGATTATGAACTAACTCTTTATGTATCAGTTTTCATTACATTTTTTTTAAATGTGCCCCCTACCATTTTTAATTGTTTTAATGAAATTCCTCTAGTGGATGGTGTAACACTTCATATTCCTGTGACTACACAGGCTTATTTATCAAATGAAGTAGCTTTATCTTATTTTGAAGATTTGGAATTATAATATAGTAAAATTCAGCTTTAATAAAGTGAGGTTTTTATGTAAATATAGAATTGTTTTATAGAATTTGTAATTCATAGGACTGTCTAACAAAAATTAATACCTGCTCCAAAAGATAAATCAGACTAAAATTGGAAGGGACCTTAGGAATCTACTTAAACCAATCCACATTATTTGGATGTATTTAAACTATTACTGACAAATGTCTGTCAATCAATTATTTTTCTTTAAATCTCTAGGCAGTCTATCTCTGTAACAGTCTTTGTCATGAAAAAAGTTTTTCTTAATGACTGATGTAAATCTCAGTTATTGTAATTTTATGCCTTACTTTTAGTACTTCAGAGAATTAGTGTTTTCTTTTGTCTAGTATATCCACATGTGTACATATACATTCCTTCAACTTTTGCTAAGAGGTTTGGTTTTTTTCTCATTTTCCACATCAAAAAAAGAAACACAGAAATTCAACATACAGAAACATAAGTAATATAGCTCAGAAAGTACCTCCAGCAGTCACTGAGTCCAACCTTCCACTCAAGGTCATCTAGAGAAGGTTGCTCAGGGCAGTGTCCAGTTAAGTCTGGAATATTTCCAAGACTCCATCACCTCTCTGGACAACAATTTCCAATGTTTGACCACCTTCATGATGAAAAATAGGTTTCTAATTACTTCACTGGATTATCTCATGTTCCTACTTGTGTCTGTTGCTTCCTGTCCTGTCTGCACTTCTGTGAAGGCAGTGGTTCTGTCTTTGTGCTTTCCCAGTAAGTAGTTTTAGTCAGCAATAGGAGCTGTCCTGTTTTCTCCAGGCTGAACAAAGCCAGTTTTTTTGGCTTCTTCTAGTATGTTCAACAATTTTAATCATCCTGGTGCCCTCACTGGACTTGCTCCAGTGTATCAATATCTGTCCTGCACTGTGTTATTTATTAAAAAAATATTCAAAGGTAGAGAATTATTAAATAGGAAAGTTGTTCACAGTCTTTTTAATTTGACAAAATACTCTCTATCCATTTATCCAATGAATAGGTCAATACTCATAAATAAAACAGGGTCAGGGTACGCATGTAGCACTGATTTTCAGTTGTCTGTAATGCTGGTTAATACATTCCCTGTCTCAGCTTGGGCCCATGGCAAATAATGCTCTCCCAAACACGCCCATTCATAGTATGAAGGACAATGTATGTGGCACTCATCATTGCTATGTAGGAGCAGTTTGAAAAGAGCCACTATGTTCTGGGGAGAAAGACTTTAGCTGTATAGTTGGGAGTCACCTGGTTGCAGGACCTTTTCCTGGCCTGGTTTATTAATAAAATAAATGTAGTCTTAAAGGTCATTCTTGAAAACTTCTGTGAGTGTCAGCTTATTTCAATGCTAAAAAAGTGTGAAAGACCTCCAGGATCATTCTGCAGTGATGTTACTGTCCACAGAGACAGAAGGCAGGCCTTTGAATTTGATAGGCAACAGATTTAATATTTTTTAAAATTTTAGATAATTAGACTATATAAGGAGTAGGTTTTTAAGGTCTTTTTTAAAAGCCCTTAAAGCCCTTTTTTTAAAAGCCCTTTAGACACATGGCTGGTTTTGTGTGTCTAAACAGTTCTTTTTCTAAAACTCGCTTTGCAAGTCTTTGAGTTCAAATACTCATCGCAGGATTACACAGCAGTAATGGCAATCTGATATAAATCAGTAGTTAATCCTGAAAGGCTGCTGTTGTGCATTTATCTGTAGTATATATAAGGCTAAACTGTGGGGAAAAAACATCTACCCGGACATTGCCAGAAGGCTCCAAGTTCTGGATGGACAAAATAAAATGATAGCCCCATATATAATGCCTGTTCATTCAGAAACAGTCAGGTTGTTTGGAGCATGCAGACATACTCATGTGTGTGTGAGAATGTATGTATCTCTGCACATACATGTCTGTATATAAAATATTTTTTAATTAATTACATTAATTTTATTCTGTATGATGTGCTTTCTCAGCTTTGGAAGTAATTCAAATGAATATTCATGAAAAAACAGAATATGGGCTTAAGGTAAGGTCTAATCTTCTAGCAAATTTTTCACATTCTTGACAAATACATATTATATAAGACTATGTTTTGCATTTTACCTTAGTGTCAAGAATTGCTTTTTAAAGGTCAAAGTATTTCTGAAGAACTGGTCACAGAAATGATTCTGAAAAAGACTGAGTCACCAGAAGTTGCTCATTTTGGTAAGTATATTTATAGCCTAAACTTCTTAGAATGAGCTTGCTACAATTTTGACACTTTGCATCCATTACTGCTGAAATATAATTAATTTTGTATTAGGCAGTAGCATTACTTGGCACTACACCTGTCTCTCTCTTGTAATAGAAATATCAAATCAAAGTCAGCACCAGAAAAATAAACTACATTTTCTTTTACTTTCTTACCACTTAGCAGTATATTTTTTTCTCTTCAGGAAAGCAAGTTCAGACTCTAGCCAGATCTGCAGCACTAGTCTTAAGAACATCAATTAACATAATCTGTCCTCAGAAAGAATTATTACTGCTTTGAAAACTAGCATGCTTCTATAAGCTTTCAGTTGCAATGGTTTGGGTTCCTTCTCTAGTCCAAGACTCAACAGTTTTGCAAAAGATGCAGCCTTACCTGGTGAAACCAGGCTTTTAAAACAGCAGGCAAAAGACAGAGAAATACAGAAGAAATACAAAGAGATGACGACGAAATAGAAATCTGAGGGAAGAAGCAGCAACAGAAATGCCAGTCTCGTAACCAGTATGTCAGGACTTCAATAAAAGCCTGAAGAGACTCCTGTGTCATCTGAGTTCCCTCTTTTTGACTCAGTCTGATGATGACTGCCTAAGATGTGCTTATCACACAGTGCTAGAGACTGTAAACATGACTATAAAGTTGATAAAAGTATGGTTCTTGTAGCCAAGCCATTTTCTGTATTACTGATGCCCCAAAGTAGCAAGGAACTGAGTAACCTACATCCTCACTATTTTTCCAGCCAACTAGAACTCATACCAATTTTTGTGAAGTATTTTCTGGTTCTAATAACTTTTTGTTTAGCAATTATTTCTTAATATAATCCTTGCAAAGTTTAAGTAGGCTTTCAGCAAAGGAACTAATCAGTCAATTGGCTATTAATTATTAATTTAAGGTTTTAGAAACAGTGTTGTATGCAAGGCTGAATTTTTTGCTTTTAAAGTTTATTTTTTTGCCATTGTAAAACACAAGTTTCTAAACAGTACACGCAATAAGGAATTATTTTCAATTATTTTCTATTCAATTCTATTCAATTTTATTCTTAATTAATAAGTATGCATTTTGGAGACTGATGTGTCAGATATTCAGAAGTGCTAAAGCAAATGAAAATATTTTAAAATTTTAAGTCACTAAACCAGATTTTTTTTATACTTCTGAAGAAGGCCAGATATGAAGCTTCTATGCTATTTCTTGGATTAAACAGTGTCTCTTTTTAAAATAACATAGGCACTGAAGGATTGGAAAATAACAAGCAACCTTGTAAGGAAATACAGAATTATAACCTCTATGTAGCTGATATGCTTGCTAATTATTATTTTTAAATAGAACAAGAAAACAACCAGAAGTTCATATCATGTTAACCTAAATAATATTTACAAAGAAAAAAATCTATGTCATTATCACAGGGATCAACTGCTCAATTAGCATCATTTAAATCAAATCACGACAAAGTTGTTTATTGATTTATTAATGGCAAGTAATTAACTGGCAATCAGTGAACAGGTGATCAGTGAAGAGGTTCAGCATCAAACACACAACAGACAAGCCACAGCACTAAGCACTTGCCAAATATTAGCAAACACCTACAGATTTCTAAACAGCCTCCTAAAAGTAATTCCAAAGACTATACTCAGTTTTGCATAGTTATGCATGGAAACCCTTTCACAAAGATGGGTGGAAGTTAAAAGCACACATTCCCTTTTCTGAGAACCCATGTTCACCCATTTAAGCACACTTTCTGTTGGAAATGCGAGTGCTCTGGCTTTTGTCTCTGTGTGCCTTTCCTATGGTCTACTAATCCACACACACCAGTGAGAAAACTTCCCATGAGATCGCATAGGCACATTCGAGGTGTGGGTCACTATGGGTTTAACTCTGTTCTGTCAGTCCAGTAGTTGAAATGTAGGTTACTCACAGCATCCAACAAGAGAGGCTGCTCTGTCAGGCCTAGACAGAAGGTTGTAGTGCTGGCACAGCAAACCTGGTTTGGCTGTTGTTCTTCTACCTTGTTCTCACTCTAAGGTCTCTTCTCCCAGTCACAAATTTTAATACCTTTTTTCAAGGTAGCTCCTTCTCTCCTCAAACGAAAAATCCCCTGTTTACTATATGATCTGGCTGATGGTTGTCTTAGGGAAATATCATTGCTAATGTCCCCATAACATTATCGGTTTGGGGTTAAACACCCTCTCAGAGAACAAAAAATTTGGGATAATCTTTTCCCATGTTACACTCACATTCCTCTCACATCAACTGTTGTTATCCAGGATGTGTTTATAAGCAAAGGCTGTGCAGACAGCCCGTGTCCCACTACCAGTTGGAAGTCTCTGAAGATATCAACAACTTAGAATCTAGGATTTTCATTTCCTAGAGGAATGACACTATATTATGCTCTCTCTTACTTACACTCTTCTATAAGTTTTGTATCTATGGATAGTAGCTACCCAAAGAAGGTGGAGTCTTCAGTCCTAATACCTCTTGCAAAGACTGCTGCTATGTTTCTGTGCTACACAGACTTGCATTTAAATGTTATCACATAAAAATCTAAGCATGTGGAGCATACACCATTTCTTGAAGGGAATATTCTCATTATTAGGCTAAACAAATCCACCTGATTCTTGCTTATTCTCTCATTCTGGCCTCATGACTATTGGTTTCCTTGCTATGCAGTAGTTCTTACTGCATGTAGTCATTAGTAGTTACAGTACTCTCCTAGGAACTTGAAGCAACAGGTTTCCTGATACTAGAAATACTTCAGTATCCATACTGTGTGCATAGTGCCTTCTTTTAAGAGGATTTAACATCCAGGAGCACTACATATCCTAGACAGGAGTTCAGCCTTCCTTTATTGTCCGTAGGAGCAAAGACCTTTAAAGGCTCTTAGTTTGTATGTTGTGTATCACAGAGTAACTACTTTTTGCAATGCCTTTTAGAAAGTCTTTTAGTGGCAAAAATGGTCACTAAAAGCTTGTCATTTTTAGGCACTACAGTGTCTGAGCTAGGAGAAGCAGGTGGTCTGAGTATGAACATTAATGTCTACATATTTCTTATATTTCTTAATTGAGTTAACAAACTTTGAGAGTCCTACATCAAGTTGAAAACAACACACTTTTTTGTCTGTATTTCATCTGAATAAGACATGGGTGCACAATTTTTCTAACAGTATTATGTCATGTACATGGTTTAAAATTGTGCCACTAAATAGATGTATTGTTTAAAGGGGATGAGTGTAATAGTCCTATATTTGACATGACCTTCAAAAACACTTATTTAATAAAATGTATTCAACAGGTTATGTTCTCAGTGGATTTCCTTCTCTCTCAGAGGAATACATGACTGTTTCACAGCAATTAGAGAAAATAAAAAATCTAAAATTAAAACCTGATTTCCTGATTAACATTAAGGTAATGTCAACTTCAGTAACTTGTTAGTCATTTTCCTAATTATTAGTAGACTCATATGCTGCATAAGTCAAAATAGAACTTTTTCCTCTGTGCATCGGAGTATAGTATTTATTGAGGAATTACAAATTGTTCTCTTTTATATTGGAATGGGATTACACTAGTTTGCTCCGTTACAAGCATTGCTCATGTAAAATAATGAGCATTTCCTAAAATTTCTGTAGTAGTTACAGTCTTTGCACCTCTAGAAGATAAATGTTTTTCAAGAAAACTTTGAATAACATGATTGTTGTGGGGTTTTGGATATATGTACGTCTTCCATTCATGTATTTCAGGAAGAATCTTTTCATATATGGAAGTTAGAAAGCAAATTGTTTAATTTTTTACTCACTAATTGTGAAACCACTTCTTAGTCATTATTAATTCATCTTGTTTACAAGTCTCAATTTCTCCATGAGTAGTAATGTGACATACCAGATACTTTATGAAAGCGACTGATATAACCAAAAAAACCACACATCATTGTTAGTGTAGGATTAAGAGGACTTTCTCAATGTAACTTAAAGGAACAGACTTTCTGGCCATGTCCATGTTGGTAAATAAAACAAGGCAAGAGCGACTCTTCAGACATGAGGCCAGCTGGTTTGACAAGACACAGCTAATCTGCCTTGCTAGTCAGAATGGAGTGGCCATGTCCAACCTGCCTGCTGGGAAAGGCCACAGGCCTGTGCTATTCTCCAGACTGCCCAGCTGCTCACCAGGGAGAACATGAGCTGGCCCACACCAAACTTTGCCAGACTCCATGCAGACAAAGTAATGGTATATATAATGATGAACAATGGTTCAGGCACTTCCTCTTGCCATGTTTTATTTATTATCAACTACATTATTTCTGTCTTTTACTCTGAATGTGCAGAATGAGCTGCAGAGGCAACTCTGAATAATCTGCCTGGTTGTTGTGCTCCATTCTCCTTGAGATTTTTATTTTAGTTGTCATATCAATGTGGTCTGTTACATGCTAAGCTTCAGTGCATGGACCTAGTCTATCATTTTGCCAGATTTAAGTCTGTGTTTGTTGTTGAGACTTCATTTTTTTGACCATGCATAATGAAAAGTTGTGAATGGCTACCTTAAACCTTTTTTTCTATGCTCATGGAAAGATCTTAAAACATCAGACAAATTTATTTTTGTGGTGCTTTTCAGGCCGTTTTGATTTTTTTCAGCTACAGAAAGTGAGTCTTTGTTTTAATACCAGATAGCAGGAAATCTCAGTTCTTGAGAGTATATGTTTAAAAGTTTCATGTGCAAAAGTACAAATAGAAGAGTGATACTAACTACACTAGAAAGAAAACAGAATTCTTGACTTAATGTAGTTACATTATCTTCTCCTTCAGGAAGGAGACTGAGACAGACTGAATGCTCATTAAAAATCCTTGTCCCAAAGTAAAATGAATAATTTTGCCTTTTACTTCAGTGGGTAACAATTTTCATTATATCAAAAAGAACGGAAGAAGGGAGATCCTAGACAACTCTGAGAATAATGAAATACTGTTATTAGCAGACTAATTTAGAGAAATTTTGTCTTTTCAAGAAAAAGGACAGAAAATACACTTTTGAAAAAAGAATCAAGTAGCTTGCTAACAGCCACAATTCTAAGAAGAGACCAAACACTACATAATGTGACAATGTAGAAGGCAGCTCTTGGTGGAGCCTATAGGACTGGCACACCCAGTATTATCTTAGCTCAGAAGTGGGGAGGTGGAAACAGTTCTATACTGTTAGCTTTTAGTTGAAAGAAATGGTTTAGTTAGGGTAAATGTTTTAGTTAGGATTTTTAGTTAGTAAGGCTTTAGTTAGGATAAACTTTCTAGGCAGACCTCTCAAATCTTAAATATCAATAATTTTACCACCACAGACCACATCCAGATTCATCTCTGTTTAATGTTAAACTCAATTTGTGTCTGCAGGGCTTTTTGGGGAAAGACCATTGCTTACTCTTCCAGAGCTCCAAACTGCTGAGCTCCTTTAGCCTCTGACACAATGGCACTGTGCTTTTGGGTAATAGTAGAGCTCTGAGAGGTCAGAGCCACCTACTGACTTAATCTTGCTCAAGAGCAGACCGCTTTGGCATTAATTGCAAAAGCAATCACAAGCCTGTCTGCAAAATACTTTTATCCATAGACTATACCTACACTTGTTATACTACAAGGTGTATCTTGCATAGTAGAGTGTGCTCAGATAGTGGCTACACTCCAGATATGGAATGTAAAATGCTGATAGAGAAAAACTATGCAAGTATTTAAGACTTTCTTTAATATTTGCTGGTTTTGAAAATTTTGAGTTTACTCAATGTTATTGGAGAAGTAGTTTATGATACCAAGTATTTGCCAAACTGATTCTTATCCCCCATTCTACAGCTTCAGGAAAAATAATAATATTATAGCAGAACAATAAACACATGATTGCCTTTTAATTTTTCCTTGCTAGTGTTCAGATTATGACTTATGCCAAAGAATAGCAGGACAAAGGCAACACCCTGCTTCAGGGCAGGTATATCAGAGGAACCAGTGGGATCCCAACGTTATTGAAAAGCATAAGAAAAAGAAAGATCACTATGAAGAAGAGCATGAAGAAGAAGAAGAAGAGGAAGAGCAGGAAGAACGAGAAGAGGTAAATATCGCTGATTTCTAAACAGTGAAAAGTATTATAATGTACTCCAGACAAAGCAGAACAAGTTCCGATATTATAAAGTATCACCATAACACATTATGAATTCATTTTGCTCCACTTCAATCTTAATTCAGTTTCTGTTCTGTTCTAAGAGATGTAGGACGCTACTTAAATTGTAGGATTAAATGACAGCAAATGGTGATTATTGTATAGCTTAACCTGGATTCAGTCTCTAACTCAGACATCACTGAAGTCTTTCTTGCCATAAATTAAAAGGGTGTATCAGGAGAACAGTGACTATATTGTCTGTTTCTTGATCTAAGCAAATAAAGGAGCTCTTAATTTTCTTAATTTTTGTTTATTGTAGCAAGTTTTACTAGTATTTGCAGGATACTAGCTTGTTTTCTGGTTTTGGTGTTAGATTACTACAGATGGCTTATCTTTTTTTCATTATTGTATTAATTTTGAATTTAGGTTGAATTGTTCTGGTTTATAATGCTGGCCAGAGAATTATCAATGCAAGTTCTAGGCACATTCCTCTCGATTTGCAGAGACTACATTTTGTCAGGATAGGGTCATGATCAGCAACCATTGGACTAATACTCATTGCAATACTCTGGAAAGCTACTTTATTTATATTTGAGTAAAGATAAAAATTACATTAGCACATTATTTTATTTCTATATCTTGAAATATTTAACTTTTCATTCTGCAGACTGCAGAAGAGCCACTTATGACATCAGAATTTTTGCATCAGTTAGTGCAAAGGCCTGAGGATATTCTTGAAAATGCAGAGGAAAGAGTTGGAAAGTATAAGGATATAATGCTACATCCTTTAGAAGTAAGAAAAAGCAAAATAATATGATCATGCATAAAAAAATTAAAAAGTATCTTGCACTGTTTTAATTTTCTTAGTTTGAGATTTATTTTATGGAGGTGGGTACAAGGCATGATACAACGTATTGCCAAGTTCTGAAATTCATACTGATATCAATGATACAAAGTTGTCATCTCTAGGTGTTGTTTCTACTCTGGAGTCAAGATACTCAAATGATGAGCACATCTTTGTTCTTAAACAGGACTTGATGGTTGAACAGGATTGTCAATATCTTTTTGAACTGGATGGAAATCAGCAACCAGATGATCTCCTTGTAGTAAGTAGGCTATGCACCAACTTAGCTAACCTCCCCTAGAAAATAATTTCTAAGTTCTGTGGATTGTTTTCATTATAAGGAGTTGGCAATATTTTAAATTATATATAAAACTAATTTAATTACTATTAGAAAACACAACCTTTGAAATGCCTGCTTTTGTTGGTCTATTAAAACAATTCTATGATTCACAGCACTGCCCCTAGGCTTACATATATGTCACGAGAGAATATTTTCAGGCAGGCTACAAACTCCTTTGTATTGTATCCATCTGTTTCTAGCACTTTATTTTGTGTATTAGTGTAAAATATCATTATTAACACGAATAACTAAAATATTGACAGTATATTTACAGAATTGGCTTATTTTGTGCTGGTCTCTAAAATAAGGACAGAATTTTTATGAACTTTGATATTGTTTCACAATGTAATAGAAGACACTTTATTGTTTTCCATTTGGCAATTCTGCTAAGTCCTTCTGTGTAGATTTTTATCTCATAACACAGCATGTTATTCTCCCCATTAAAAAACTACAGTGAAAAAAAATTAAAGATAAATAATCTTATCCTCTGCCTCAGAAATAAGAGTTGTTTCAAATCAGAACCTAAAATATGGTGTTGAAAATTAAGTGAGAGATTGCCTTTGACAATGTAGGAAGTGAGCTGCTCCTGCAGCTTCCACTCTATTATTTGAAACAAATAGAATCAATTATTCTATAAGTATTGTTTCAATTTATGCTCAACTTTACAACCGAGAGTAGTCCTGTGGAAAAAAACCCACTAATTTTGCAGAGTTGGAACATAAAATTTCTGCATTTATGATCTGTTTGTGAATGTTCACAGAATCACAGAATATTAAGAGTTGGAAGGGACCCAAAAGATCATCCAGTCCAACCCTCCTGCCAGAGCAGGATCACCTAGACAGAAGATTTATAGTAAAGGCAATCAAGTTGTGTAATGAGTCCAACCATTTTACATATAAGTAAGGCAAAGACCAATTTTGAAATTAGTCCAAATATGACAAAATTTGCTTTCTCATTTCAAGAACACTTACATTCAAGCAAGATTACATTCAATAAATACTTCAATTAAATTTAATATAATCTGATTCTCATTGGCAGACATCTAGTTTATCTTTTTAAATAAATTACCCAAAGTTGTATTACTTCCAAGTGTGCATAATCTGATCTCCTTAAGAGACTATCCTCCTTTTCAGATCGGAGCTTATCTGAATACTTCCACTGCTTTGTGGGACAGAATCCTTCACAGCCTATTCCTTTAGAGGGCTTAGGATTCACAGCATAATGAGGAGATATAAAGGCTGTAATTCAGCATTTTGCATGGCCTGTATTTACCAAATAGTTTGTTAAAACCCAACTCAATAACTAGCATGACTCCAAGTTAAAAACTGGGCCTTGGTGTAGCCATTATATAAATAATAAGTTAAAATTTTAAAAATACTTTGGGGGTCCTTTCAGATCACAAAAGCAGTTTTGATTGGTACAAAGTCAAGAGTTATTTTCTCTTCAGTCAGTGGTAGTTCGACTTCAATCTCTGGGTGTTCGATATGGAGCTCCTATAACTAAACTTCAAAATGAGCAAGAAGAAACGCTGGAGAGATTAGAAAATGTAAGTGTGCTTTTCTAAAATGTGTTTGACTGTAATAGCTATAAAAATATTTTTAATTTCCTGCTATAACAATCTCAGCAGCTGACTCTTAGCTCAGTCTTTACTATTTTCCTAAATGAGAAACAGCATGCTAATACAAATTAGCAACATCCTGCACAGCTGAAATCAAATACATTGTATTTCCTGTAGTTAATTAGAAACATGACAAGTTAGTGCTGAATTTTGCTGAATCACGACAATTATAATTTTTCTCCTTTCCAAATAAAACCGAAAAACAGAAGTCTCTGCATAAATGTCTTCACCTGTATTCATTTGCAGTCATCTTTCTTACGCAAAACTTTGAATATATGGATGGTACTGTAACTGGGAGACCCCACTATACATTTTCAGAGAAACACCTGCCCCCCTTCACTTTTCTGTTTTCTCGGTCCCTGACAAACTCACAATTTCTGTGTCAGAGGCTGGCTGTATTTATTATTTAGTTAGTGTCTGTGTTGGTATTAGTCTGTGTGTAAGCTTTTAGTATCCACAGTATTTAGGGCAAGGACATTATAGCTGGACATTATATACAGAATTGCTTCTCTTTGTGTTGAACCTGCCACCTTTTAGCTCTATGTCCTCTAGTTGTTGATATGAAAAAGTCAGTAAGGTGTTTTGTTCTCTGTATCTGCCCTCTAATAACTCATAATTTCAGACTTCTGTCCTGTTCTTATGTAGCTGTCTTGTTTCTGGAGAGTTCCAGTCTACTTAATTTTATTTCTTTTTCTGTGAAATTTTGTGATCGATCAGTCATATTACCTTTTTCTGAAACTTTTCCAATTCTACTGTGTACTTTCTGAGATTAAGGTAGTAGAATGCATATAGTAGTAAGGATGAGGGCAGGATTTACAATTTAAAAAGTCCAAACCTTTCTCTTCTATTCTCTCATTGTTTAACATTCAGTTTGATTTTCTGACTGTTCTTGGACATTGATCAGACGTTTTCATGGAAGTGTGTATTATAACTCCAAGATCTATTCCTGAGTAGTGAGACTTATTGACAACTCATCATTTTCTGTGTAAAACTGCTGTTTTACTGTTTGGTTTCCTAGATTCTGAAGGTCCTTCTGCAGTTTGTCACAGCCAGCACTTGTCTGTACTATTCTGAGTAATTTAGGGTCACCATACACTTCAGGATTCACTCACTATTCACCTTCTGTAAAAAGTCTATTGCTCCTATCACATGACATTTCTGCTATTTTGGCCTTACTATTCCTCCACACAGTTCATGGTCCTTTCTTCATCCTCCTTAGAAGAAATCTTTCACCATTTTCTGTTGTCTTCAATAAATCGCTGATTTGTACCACTTTATCATTTTAAACTTCTGAAAATAATAAATGAAGCCTACAGGAACTATTTTAAATACTATTTTTATTAAATACAATTGAAAAACTAAATAGTTTCTCCTTAAAATTGTCCTACAATTCTGAAATGCATATTTTTTTAAGATTCTAAAAAGCATGATGTGGTTTTCCTTTTAGGTTTGCTTGTTTTCCAACAAAATATTTCAAAAAAGTTTAAGAACAAGGCATATGTACCTCCAGACAAAAATTACATATGCTCTTATTGCTCTTTTAATAAACAGGATGAACTTTGGCGAGTTCTGTCATCTTACAAACTAATAGCACCCAGATATCAGTGGCGTAGAAGCAGGTGGGGACAAGCATGCCCTGTGGCTCTAAAGAAAGGTGACATTGTAATGGGAAACCCAGACTTGGCTGTCAGGTTAGTGAAATTTGACTATTTTTATTTTTATTTCTATTTTATAATATATTCAACTGTATCTGTTAGCTTCTCTTCTGTTTTAAGTTTTCTAGGGAAAATGTACATACTGTCATCCCCAGAGGCATTGAAAACATTTATGTTGAATCCACGACCTTACCTGTTACCACCAATGCCACTTCCTCCTTGTAAAGTTATAGTATTTGGTTCTCCGTTGTCTGGAAGAACAACTATTTGTAGCCTAATTGCACACAAATATAAAGGAAAGGTAGGTTTATAAATGCTTTGTGTAACAAGGGTATCAGCTGAGCCTTGGGAATCACTTAAGCACATTCTTATGCCTGCTGTGTTATTAACATACACATTGCACACAAATGGATTACAGAGGAAACACAGTAATTTTGTGAAATTCATCTATATAAAGTAGTTGCATTGAAGAAATATTTTTTATTTACTCTCTATGTAAGACAAATATTTGTGTCAGTTATTTATCGTAACATAATAATATTATGAATAACTTTTGTACCTAAGATAATTAAATGTAAATGTAAATTAGAAATTCTTTTTCCACAAAAAACTCCTGCACTTGAATTATATGTAAATTTTTTCTGAAATATGCAAAGCTTTTCCAAATTGATTCTATTGTGTAGGAGTTGGATCAGATGCTCTGTCTCTTCTATGATATTTTTATATTTTCAAATAATTTCACTAGGTTCTTGACATGGCCAAACTCATTCAACCCCACATGGAAGAATCAAGAGAAAAAAACACTGAGCAAGTGCGAAAGGATGCAGTAGAAAAGGCTATAACAGCAGTGAAAAATAGGTTGGAATCAGAAAACCAGTCAGAAGAACCAGGTGAATAAGGTGTTCCTTGGTCTTTAAAGCTATCTTATTTGCTTTAGGTTATTTAACTGAAGCAATTGCTGTCACTTCGACTTACAAAATATTAGAGAAGTTGTTATGGTTGTTGTGCATTAAATATGAACTAAAAGAACATGCAGTGAAGGGAATAGCTGAGTAGAATTCAGTATTTCTGACATTATATATAAATCCTCTGAAGTTGAGGGCCATGAGTATGTAAGAAAGAGTTTTCTGAGCTCTTTTTGAAAGAAGAAATTGGTTTTGACTGATACTGGTTGGAAACTTTCCATTTGAATTACTTTCTGACAAGCTAAATCTCTTCAAAATTGAAATTTTCTTCAAGAAAGGAGCTTATCAGCTAGGCTGATGTGGACCTAATCTACAGATTTTCCACTTCAGAGCAGCTTTCCAAGTATGCTGTCCCAGATGGAACTTTCACAAGAATTTCACGAGCTTTGGTCACATTTAAACTTCTTAAGCTGCCCAGGTTTTGCAACTTGATAAATTCGGAAAATATTTTAAAAGAAGAAAACAATATATTCTTTTAATATGTTTTAAACAGAATTTGGATTTTTTTCTGCAGAAAATTTTGTGGATTTTTTTCAAAATTATTCCTTTTTAAATGAAAAATTTGGAATTGCGTTTTCTAGTTAGCTCTTGTTATGGTTCAAATGGCCCATCAGGCCATTTTGCCTTATTAAAATAAGCAAGGAATCACCATATTTGACTTACTCATGGGTAGATACATAGCTAACAAGAAGTCAGCATATTCTTCTGGTGCTGCAAAACATAGAAGCTGACAGTGATACAAAAACCATTGGTGAACTATGATACCAAAATTCAAACCATTAAACAGTGTTACATTTCAGATTCCTCGCTATGTAAATACCTTGGTAACAAAAATAATCTGATACTGTGTAAATTTGTGCATGTAAAAAGTATCAACACAATCAGTGAAAAATCTTGGCATAATTACAGAAAGTAATTATGGCATTTTTTCCAAGTGATACTCTTCACATAGTAGATATTGCAGTTGCTTAAAACAGTTCCTCCTCACATTTTATCAAATTGGTATGTAAACTTTGAACTAACTCTGCGTGTTCCTTAAAAAAAATTTTGAACAGTCTGCTGTGTCAGCAATTAATAACGAAATATGGATCCAATATGAATGTTTTGTGGATCTTAGGGAATGCAGGCTTTTTGATTGTTGACAATATACTGTCTTGATACATGATTTGTATTGATTTTTAAATTAATCTGGTCAAGCTTTTGATTTAGGAATCAAAGTGAAATCAAGTCAAAGAAAATTCTTGGGTGCTGCAGGTGCCTGATTGTTCTGGTACACAAATGTCTTTCCATTCATATTGAAATAATATTTCACTTAGTGGTAGAAAATACTGTACAATTAAAACAGGTTTGTTTTTTTAATAAGAGAGAGCAAACTAAGATCTTAAAACTTACATTTATGAAATATATGCTAGAACTGCATTCAGAAAAACTGGTATTTGATTCTTTCTCAGTATGATTGTGTAATTTTGCTTAAAATCACTGCTGCACTCTAATTATGAAATGGCTGCATTTAATTGCCTGGCAGTTACTCCTGACCAGAGAAAATAAGTATTTCAGAATTCTGTGAAGCGCTTTAAAACCTCTATACTATTAGGAACATCAGAGGTAACAGCTGACCACGCAGAAGTTCAAGCGATGGTAGAAGAAGCTGTAAAAAGTGCATCAGTCTCTGAAGTTACACTGACATCTGAAATATATGCTGAAGTACTGGAGCAAGCTATTACAGAGGTAAAAGTATAAGTACTATATAGCAAAGCACTTTTTTTTTTTATAAGAGCAACCTGTAAGAGTTTATACATTATTGATATATGTTCTTAATTTTTCCATTTGAAAAACCAGTTTAGTTTACATCACATAGTCTGAAAGCTTACATAGGATTGAGACGAGACTGAGCGAGTTCACGGAAGACAAATCTATTGAGGACTACTCTTTATATAGATATACATATACACACACAAATTATTTCTGTCTTGCAAAGTACCTGAGCTACTGATTGTTAAAGGCTGGGAGAATTACCTGAGGAAAATATCACTGTATACTTGCCTTATTCTTATACCCTTAGTCACTATTAAAGAGCTCAGCAGCAGATAAGAGTGTTTGAAAAGAATCGTATATGGAGGTTTATCCAAGAATCCTCAGTTGTTTTAAATTTGTTCACTGGTCTGTGACTATTGAAACTGGAATCTAAACTCTTTATAGACAACCTTAAAAAATCACTGGCATATTAATCTCTTCTTGTTTAAAATGGTTTTGTTTCATTCAGACATATAAAGTAATAAATGTCTTAGTTTTTATTGAGCTGAAATGACAATAGGGAAAAATCATAACTTTTAGAAAATCATTTTGTATTGTGCAGTCTTTTTGAACAGCTCACAGACTATCTTAGTCTTTTTATGTTATTGAATCTTATTACAGCTTATGAAGAACAACAAAGACAGATTTCCTGGTGCTCCAGAGAAAGGAGGATGGGTAGTGGATAACTACCCCCTGTCAGTAGATCACTGGTCAGCATTATCAGAAAAAGAACTTCTACCTGACACTGTTGTCTGTTTGAAGGATACAGAGAAAGGTGGTTAGTAAATGCACACCAATTCAACTTAATCTTTCATTTTTTCTGTGTTGATATCTGTATATAAAGCACACTTATAAGAAAAACTAGTAGCTATGTCCCATTTATAAATTTTATGGGGTCTAGAGAAGGAAGAATCCAGTGAATCAATGAAGGTACCCCAAATTTCTTACAATTTGAATTAAGGGAATTACACAGAACTGAAAACAGGAATGCTTTACAAAAGCAGTAAAGAAAATACCTCCTATTTATATTCCTAATTACAGTTTCCTCCTATTTACAATCAGCAGTAAATACTACTGGACTCTTGCAGTTGCAGACTTTTGTAGTCTGTGTCTGGCTTGCCACCAGCTTTCCATGTGGCGCTCTGTCAAATTTCCCTTCCTGTGTGTTGGTTTCCCCACTTGAAAAATGAGGTTATAGATATGAACTTTCTCTGCTTAAGAGAAAAGTGGTGGGAGAAATATCTGTATGCAGGCGTATCCTGTTTCCCATCCTCGGTTCAAAAAAAGTTAGGCAACTTCTTCTCCAGATTGATACAATAGCTTAGTACCCATGAATTCAGAGGAAGAGATTTTTACTTTATTGTTTCAAGAAGACAGGAAGGTTGGTACCAGGCATGAAAAACTGAACAGATTCATACTCTGTTAAAAGTTTTGCCTGCCAAATCATGTCTTAATGGATTATGCCTGCTTGGTTCATAACACACCATAAGTTTCAATGTTTGATCATTATCTGTTCAACCCAGTTCATTATCAAAAGGTCTTTCAGTAGTAGAAACTTCTCTTCAAGAAAGAAATGATAGGTCTATTCATACTTAGTTCAAGAAAGCTAAATAACTGCCCAATATTAGAAACAGTCCAGGAGCTTCTCAGTTCCTTGTCCCTGAATGTAAAAAAGCAACCTGAGCAAATCAAAGTTAGAGTTTACTCAGAACAGATTTTTTTTTAAATGGTTTTCAGAAGCATGTCGATCTAATTAGCTACCCATCCTCACAACTCAGCTACAGTACCTAAACTACTTAGTCACATAGCTGCGTGAAATTTTCTAGCTCCTTAAACATCTTAACTAAAAGTCTTCCTGTGTGGTTGTAGCTTGTACAGACTACAGACTGAACATTTATATGAGAATGTTCTAGATCCAGTGGTTGTCAGAAAATAATATTTGCTGTTCTTATCATGCAAGAAGACCTCATCTCAGATACTTCCAGAAAGAACTTAAGGACAAATTGCATTTCCATGCCTCATCTTTGCTTCCCATTTCAAGCATGTTGAAATCTTCATGAACCCAGTTGGTGGGACACAGTGCATTGTCCCTTCTTGCAACCACAAAAAGCACCTTATTCATGTAGTTGGCATGCAGTAATGTAATGTTAATACAGTGTACTAAAGAACAAACAGCAGGAGTCAAGCTCTAGCCTTTTCTGCTGGGAGAGGACTGAGGTGGGAGAGATGCTTTCAGAATTATGTTCACTTTCTTTTCACTTCTCAGAATTTAATTAGTGAATTAATTGGACAAAAGAAAAAGATGTCTTATTGCCCCTGAAAGGCTTTATTCTAGATCAGACACTTTGGGAATAGGTAATTCTTCATGGGAACCATGTTGAAAACTGGTCAATAGTAACTGCCACATTTTTTCTTTTGGGAAGGTAAGAACTTGGGAGTCTATAGCAGAGGCTTTCAGAGGAAGGCTTTCAAATTACATGCATCCTTCCTGCAATGTAGACCTTTCTGTCATTCCCACTAGTGCTGAAAACATAGCTCTCAATTAATTGTTCTTATCTGAACAATCTATTTTATACTCTTGGTAGCCATCTCTTCCATGCAATCACCTTCTGTTTTTCTAATCTGATAGATGGCAGATTCTTTACAGCATTAAGTGTAAGCCTTTCCTAGAAGTTAGACAGGTCCCTCATGAACTTAAATTCTGTGCACACAACCCTGATGTTAATGCTGTTTGAACTAACATGGTATAGTCTTCATATCACATAGCAAAAAAAACCCTGCTTTCTTAATTACAACCCATCCGGACCTATGTATAAGTAGATTTCAGGCTTGGAAGGAAATCCACCATTCCCATTTTTAATGTATTTGAGATGATAATGGATTTATACCCTCATATTATACCTGGAGCTGTATCAGGCTTTCATATGAATCAATGACAATTTATTTTTCTTCAAAGTTTCATTCACTGGTGGGAGGAAATTAATTAACATACTTTAAATGATAAAGCATATATATTTTACTGTCTCAGCTTGAAACCAGCCATGTGCAAATTGAATACAAGTCATGCTATTTGTAGCCTATTATAACAAATTGAAGTGAAATATAATGATAATACCAGCATAGAGAACTTCTTAAAAGACTTCCAGTTGCATTAAAACAAGACATTGCAAGAACCAGAATCAGCTGAGCTACCTAAAAACCTGTGCTATGAGCAAGCTAGTTTATTTCTGGTTAATACGAGTAGCAGAGATTCTCATGTCAGCCACTTACTTAGGACTTTGCTAATTTATTATCCATTATTTTAAAGGCTTATAGGTCACTTGCACAATTTGACCAAGTAATACTAAAATCCTTAATCACATGAAACTATATTGAATCCTTTGATTCAAGACATGTACTGATATCCAAGGATGAAAGAATGGTTAGTTATAGTATAGTAATCATGATTCTTCTGAATGTTCTGCATATGATAATTCTGTAATTAAAGCTGTTTCACTGCAATTCAATGTCATTTAGTCTCTGAATAATGAAGTAAACTAATGCTTTTTGGCACTGCTGCTTTTTATAAAACTGAGAAAATGCAAAGATGGATAATTGCATGTCTGGGTCACCAGGCAAAGCTACTGAAAACTCTCACAAAATTTTTTGCAGATAAATACTAACACTGAATTTTCTAAAGATTAGTTTACAAGTACATATTTTAAAATCTCCTTTCACTCGCCCTCCTTTCTTCAAAAATATATTTAATTTAAAGTATTGTTTTAAAATATAAACCATTCACACAAAATTATAATCTGCTTCAAATCAGCACCAATGTTGCTAACAGTTAAGTAAGAAGTTTCCCACAGTTCAATTTTAGGTAAAAATAATTTAATGTCAGTTGATGATAGTGATCACATGACATATGGGAGGAAAAAGTATAAGTAAAGTGAAGCGAAAGAGACAAGGTTATAATGTCTGCTATAATGTTTGACTAACAGCATAGCTTTCTGCTTATAGATTTGTTTCCTTGAATTTAGCTATTTTGTTTCGTTTTGTTTTGTTTTTTCCATCTGAGCAATTGCGTTAACTCTTTATTTGATTCCCACTTATTTCTGTCACTTAAATAACAATGTAGTTGTGGAGTTTACATTTTCACAGCACTTTGAGTCATTATGTTGTAAGCTATTCCCTGAACTAGCCTAAACTAGTATAACTCCACTGATGGAAATGGATTTCAGCCACACAGCCATGTATCATATATCTATTTGCCAAAGTAAAAAAGTCAGTAGAGTTCCCAGTAGGAACAGCATATTATTCATTTCTGTCAACCAGCTTTAGTAATATAGGTATGTACATTATTTATATTGCTATTTGAATGTTTTTCATTTGCTTCTTCATATTTATCTCCATAACCACAGTAATAGATGATATACAGAAATAAACGACAAATTATTTCAATGCTGTCTCCCCTTATAGCCTTCATGATAACCTTACCATATCCCAAACTGAGTTTATTAGGTGCTTGAGATTAAAATTTTGGAGGTTTTTTCCAGAAAGCAACAGCATGACATTTCAGTGGTATATATGCCTTTTCTTGGCTTTAAAAAGAAGTAGGAAAGTTGTCTATCATTTATTAAATAGTTTTCCTAACTCAAATAACTTTAATTTTATACAAATCCATAAAACTCATTGATGTTGTATAACTGTACTGCAGGAGCCTGTATACTACGCAGAACATACTTAGCAAATAGGGATGAAATTAATCCTAAAATTTTGAAAAGACTAACAGATGAAGCATTAAAAAAGAAAGAAGAAGAAGAAGGAAAAGAAGAAGAAGGAGAAGAAGAAGTAAGGTAAAATATTCCAAATCTCTGAATGTATAAAATGAGCACAAAAAAACTATTGCCTTATTTTGTGTTAAAGGTGTCAGTGCACACTGAAAAAGTACACTAAAACTAGTTGTCATGTGTAGGAAATAACCCAATACATTTAAACTTTGAGGAATATCTCATCTAGATTAGTAAATACGGTGGCAGAAGATTCTCTTGCTACATGCATTTGCATTGGCCTTTCGTTAGTCTGGCCTTTTGATGCAGAGACAATAACATTTTAGATGATAAAATGTATTTGATTTTTGTTTTGTGCAATGCAAATAAAATTTCAATTCCCAACAGTATATTTCCTCCTCTTTACATTTAATATATCTGCAACCTGCTTCAGTGGTATTTATATGAGTCTTAAGATGAATTCTCTTTTACTTTCAGAAGAAAAACGCAAGAAATACTGACATCAGAGGAAGAGCAATCTCCAGAGGCTGTTGAGGAGAGAGGTGAAGGTGTGTATCATTTGAGTTCTATTTTATCTAATTATACGTTTCAAATTATTTAGCAATTTGGTTCTTATGCAGATTTTAGAGTTTTTATTTCCTTTTTACATTCAGCATCTAGAAAAATGACTTTATATTACTGTCTTTGCTTCCTTCACTAATTCAGGCACTCATTTCTGTATGTCATTCTTAATGGATGTTACTGAATAGAGACATATTAAATCAGCCAGCACAGTTATGGTTTTCAATAAATCCAAAGGATAGGACTCTCTGTCTCCTCTAGTAACTTTTCTAAATGGGTTATTAACTGTATTGAAACTTCCTACTCATCAAAAAGTTTGAATCCCCCTCACAAGTTAGAAAACATTATTAGAACTTAGCCAACAGCTAATAAGAAAATCACAAAACCGTCTGATTTTCTGTTTTTCCTCCAAGAAGCTCAGCATGAAGCAATGAAAGGGGAATGGAAATTATTTCAGGAGTGGCTCTGTTAACATGCATTAAGAATTGATGAATCTGGTAGCAACATACATTATGAATTGCTGAATCCAGTAGTCTAGTAAAGGTGAGATTGCTTCAGGTCCTCATCCCCAGGACCATACAGTAATGAGTCTCAGCATGTATTCCCACTTCCCCTTCCAGCATCTTCTTACTCTGTTGTCCATGCTTGTTCCTCCCCAATCCGCTTTGATCCCTCCTCTCCTTGCCTTTTGTCCTCAGAAATGCCTCACAATATTGTAAGTCTCTCACACTCCCAAACTGCTTTACCTGTCTTCCCCTAACGAATCTCATATCCTGTAGGCAGTAATCCCCCTCAGACAGGGAAAGCCTCTCTGGTTGACCTATCTCAATAGATCTCTCACCCAGACGATACCTTCATCATCCTCTTTCAGTGACCTTGAAGGGAGTCAAGTTAAGGTTATGTTTGTTATGATTCGGTTATTGGAGTTTTTTCACCTGTCATCGTTCCTCTCTTCCTTTGAGATTAGGGAGATTAGCCTTTAATAACATAACCTAACAACATAAAGAATAATGGAGTTATGTGTATTACATGAGGTTTCCCCTCTAATAACAATACTAATAAAACATTTTAGGTAAAGACTGTCTTAACTTTGCTTCTCCATCATAGCCTAAATGATCACCTAAGGCCTGGAGCTGAAATTAAAACTTGAAGCACATGAATTCATACTTTTTTTTCTTTTTTTCTCCCAACAGTGGGGGCCTAGACTGCCATTACTGTCTTCCTTCAAACATAACATGCTAGTTCCTGTGGAAAAATACTAAGGCTAAGCTTAAGTTCTGTACTATCAGTATGTCTCACATAAACTTTCTTTCATTATCCAGTCTGGCATTTATTTTACTTATATATAACAAGGGCTAAGTTGTAAATGTAGTATAAGATAGTCTGAATATGATAATATTATTTTAATTTTTAATTAGGTAACATTTTACCTACACTTTGAAAAAGAATAGTCTAGCTTTGTAGGGTTCTTTAAATTACATATAAACTTTTTAAAAATTCTACATTATAACTTTTTCTAATAAACACACAGCTCTTCTCCAAAGTGAATGAGTTCTAAAGTATTAAATATAAAAGATTCTACACAGATACTCTATTAATCTGTGTCCCAAACAACAAAGTTCATAGTTTTGAATATCATCTAACTTATTTTGATCTGAGTATGTCAAAACAACAATTACTAGTGATGGAAGTAATAATGTCATACATGTACTTGTACTCTTAACACATGGTAAGTCCTTGTGCAGAGAAAATAATGTTTTCCTACGCCTACACTTAATTTCAATAATCAAATGCTGATCCACCAAAACACTTCAGTCATGCTGCTCTTAGCCTGACATCTGTTTTATTTCACATGTAGTGCCATCAGCACATTGACTGCAGCTTTTCTCCCATGTGACATGTCTTTACAAAAATATAAATGAATGATATGTTCACAGTTTTGGCTTTCTTTTAATATAGCAGTTGTGGTATAAAAATGAAAACTCAAAAAAGACGCGAGCCCCAGTCATGCTCTTTTGATGTCTCATAATAATAAATGTGCATTTCTGTAATTGCAATTTTTGTAACCTCAGTGGGACATTGAAGTAACTAGGATTGCTTCAGGACTGAACTTATTCAGATTTCTAACATAATTTGTGTTTAAAAGGAAAAAATTGTTCCAGTAATGAGTGAGGTAGTTATACATGTCTTAATGAAAGTGAAATTAACTGGAGAAGGAGACTTTGGCTAAATTTAACAAATGTATTTAAGTGAGTTAGGAAGCTAAGTTCAATGCTGAAAATGTCTGCTGAAGGTACACAGAAAAATTTGTGGTAACTCTTGCTTGCAGTGTCTAGCTGAAAATTATAGCTCTACATCTTTTTTTCGTGTCCCTTGATGCAATTATTCTGAGCTTAAATTATTTTCAGGAATTTCTTACTGTATTTAAATATTTTTGCAGCAGCTTTGCATGAGTATGGATTTATTTATACTAGAAGACAGCTATATGACTTCATGAGAATATATTTTAGGCATTGTAGAAGACTTATACAGCTATAGGTAGATCTGGGGGTTCATTCCAATCTTCGTTAGGTAAAACTTGGCATATTTCCTTCCTGCCATATTTCAGCTATAAAATATTCCATACAATTGATCTTATCCACTGAAGCAAACAGTTGCCATGGTTTAAGACTTTATTTTATGTACTTTATTTGGCAGCCCTGATTTTCTGCCAGAGATTACCCCCTTCCTACAGCAGACTCAACTACAGCCAATGTCTCGGTCACCACGGTTCAGGGCAGCGAGTTAGTGCAACCCCATCTTCACTGATGTCTCTTCTGGTACTCTTGCTATTTGGGGAGAAGCTCTTGCAAGAAATAAATGGGTAGCTGGAGCTGATAAGTCCAGCTGTCTCCTCCTGTGCTTGTCCTTCAGAGCTGCTAATAACAATATTTGTTATAAACTCTTTAATATTGATCCTTCGCCCCCTTTTTCATTTACAGATGGTAAAGGATTGAATCAATAACTATCTCTGTAGCTTTTATTTTATGTTCTTGATTTTCCTATTTCTATAAAAAACATTTTCTTTTAAATGCAAGTTGTTAAATAGATACATTTTTATTCATTAGAAAGAATCAACTTAATCTGCAAACCAAACTCCTTTTTTTTTATTTTTTCAAACATCATAAATCAGTACACACAATATAAGTTTGTCTAGTAAGTATACTTCACTGTAATATGCTGGAAATGATTTGGTAGCATATATTTATAAGTAATGAAAAGTCTGTATAAACAAACCACATGGTCTGTTTCAAACAGACAAATGAAAGTATGTTCATAATGAGATAATATCAGTTCCAAGGAATGGAAGTGTCACTATTACCCTACATTATGCCTTTCTGATTATTTTGATAGTTAAACCTTAATGAAGAAGATGTGCTGGCTTCTCATGTCTTTGTCTCAGCTTTGGCGGGGTTTGAGAGGGGAGGAAAGAGGATTTTTTCATCTTTTTGTTGCTGAATATGGTCTGAGGGCAGAACTAGTCATATCTAATACTAGCAGAATGCTGGAAAAAAAAGATATTCAAGCCTTTCCTTCCCCAGCAACTCACTTGGAGAACGAGGGGGCAGAAAGCCTCTGAGGACTGTTTGTCTCTATGGTAACTCTGCTTAGTAAAAGCAACGAAGACATAGAGCAAAAAATATGAGAGATTGCCATATAGGCAATACCTGTTGAAGCTCCAGATTTAGGGCTGGGGAGCTTTGTTTCCTATTACCTCTGTGATAAGGAGAAGAAATTAAGAACAGTGCTCTTAGACCACCACCTCCTCTGAAGGCAACTCGTTTGCATATTTATATCCATTTATTTTTAAACCATTACTGTCTTTTCAAGTATTTTCCTGGACTATGTTTCTTATTTCTTAAAAAATATCTTCTCACTGTAAATCACCTCTGCAAGCAGAATTATTATAACTTACATCTAATAGCAAAGGTACAGTTGCTTTACTTAAAAGTAAAGTCGGACGCCTTCCTGTGCAACCTCATCTAGGCGTTCCTGCTCCGGCAGGGGGATTGGACTAGATGATCTTTTGAGGTCCCTTCCAATCCCTAACGTTCTGTGATTCTGTGATTCTGTGAAAAGTGTTTTCAGTATTTCTGGTCCCTGAGATCCAGTTTGAAACAAAGCAAATGCCAAGGAGACAATATTTTTGTTGTAATAAGGTTCAAATACTTGAAACAAAATGAAATACTGTTTGGGTTGTTCAAATTTTTGGGTTGTCCCTTTTTCCTAGGAACTTAATCCTTTTTTCTTTTGTTACTTCTCCCCTCTTTCCAGCAGATAGTTTCTCCAGGTTGCTTAGGAAACCTATGTGTAATCTATTTTAAAATTCCCTAAGTATGCAATAATTGCTGCTGGATAAGTTTCTTTAAGCAAAAAAACTCTCACAGGTAATCTGATGCAATTATATGCCTTGAGTAGAGAATCAAAGCTGGAACACATGCTGGTCCATCATTTGCTAAATACAGCCTATTAGGAGAGGTGTAAGTTGAATTATAAGTATTTCTGAGATGAAAGTTCATACAGAAAGAAATGTACTGAGTGGATTTGTTACCATGTTCAATATTCTGTCTCAGATGATGTCAAATATTCATTTAAATCCATTATTCTGCCTGTGTATTTCCAAAGTTTCATGACCTACTCAGAACTGAGAGGTTTATAAAGGGCAGGACTATAAAAGATAAAGGCCAGCTCTGGACAGCACGCATTGCCATCTTCCATATGTTATTGCTTTGAACAGGGCTGTGGTTCACAAGGCAGCACATGTGATTTCTGCAGTGTGAATGTGCCAGGGATAACACGTGCAAAAAGCAGAGAGTGTAACCTAGTTATTAATGTATCCTTTGCTTATTTTCTTAAAATTTGTGTTCCTAATGGAACCATCATTACATAATGCATTAGTGCTGCCCAAATTTAAGCAGGTTTTACCTGCCAACATCTCTGTCTCATTTGGAATACATCACTGCAGAGTGTAATATAATTAATTGTAGCATTTACACAACATCTTTTAATGTACATAAAAAGGAAGGTATTTTCATGTTCCTATTTAGAATCACAACAAGAGACAGAAATGTCATTGCAGGGGCCAACTAATGTAATGGTGTATATAGAATGAATGTGGCGTTTAGCAAAATGCAAATGTTTACAAACATTTTCAAGAAAAAAATAGTTTCTAATTCAAGATCAGACAATTTGAAACCTGCAAGGTGTTTCTGCTTAATTATATGCCCTTTTGCACTTTTGGTTGATGTTTAGACTAATAATCATTCAAACAGAGGGAAGGTTAACCACTGAGGTGTCAGTCTGTTAGTTGTGTTATTCAAAGGTGTAAAAGATGAGAAATGCATTAAGTATTCTTTGTTATAAAAGATCACAAAAATTGTCAAACTGCCAAAATGCTTATTTGTTAACCTATTATTTTAAAGTGGCTCAATTAAAATAAAGTTTTGCAGTTCATCATGGGAACAGCATGTCAGGAGACTCTGAGGGCCACCTGCTCCCAAAGGAACAGGGAGCTGTGGTAAAATGGCCAACAGGATGGGACTTGGCAGCCATAGCCAGTCCCACCAGCCCAGCCAGGAGCAGGGCAGCTCCAGCTCCGGGCATTGGGCACCTCCCTGGGGACAGGGACCAGTGGAGGCCAGGCTGGGATGTTGGCCTGTGAGTGGGCCCATATTGACAGAGTTCATGGCCAGGCAGGGCTGTGAGGAGCTTGAGATTGGCCTTGCTGTGGCATTGCCAGGCAGGGGCTGATGTGAGGTCCTGCACCATGGGCAGGTGCGGGGAGCACCAGTGGCCTGGGCAGGGACAGCCAGGCCCAGGGGTGCCCTAAGGTCCCTGAGCCAGCACATGAATTGCCATAGAGGGCCTGATTTATTTCAAATCTCAGTTTATCATATATATGGTAGAGGTAAATGGGGGTATTGAAAGAATAAAAGTTTCAGTCTCATAAGTGGAAGAATAAAATTCTTAGAAGCACCTAAATACGTAGAAATGTACTATATTTCTAGAGGACTATACATTAATACCCAGACCCATAAGGTGATACAGATATTGCAGTGCCCAAAACTGCCTGGCTTCATATATGAAATGAAGGGTTGTAGAAATAGGCACAAGAAGTAGCAAACTAGCAAGGGGTCAGCCTTAGTAAGCCATGAAGGAATGTCAGAAGGAGGCATGTATTTGAAACCCTGCATCTTTTTAAATTTGGCTGATAACAAAAGAACGGGAGTCCCTAGCTCTAGTTCTTTGGCAGGTAACTCACTAGAGGAACGGCACTGACTTGCTTTTTTCTAGAAGACAGTGGCAGCACTGACCTTTGATACAACAGCTTCATAGCTTAGCTATCCAAGTCAGAAAAAATTTTTAGACGTGTTCCTCATCCTGCAGACACTTGCATGTCCCAGCTGCTATTGACACTTCCAGGCGATGTTTAGTTGGTACCACGTTAGACAAAAGTTAGGTAGCGTCTCTACCCTACCATTATGTTTAGTCCTGTTTCTTGCCAAGTCTTACTGGTACCTAATAACCAAAACTCAGTTACTTAGTAATAGCATTTTTTAAATATGGCTCTATTTTGGAAAATTAAATGTATATTTGTGGATTTCTTCAACAATCCACAGGAGAAGATTGAGACATTCAGTTCTGGGAGGAAACACTAGTTTTCTTAAAGAAGAAAATTGTAACAGGGCAATCTAACTCTTCATGAGTCAGAAAAATTGTTTGGATTTTTCAGGTTGGGGTAAACTCAAAATGAATGTTACAATGCTGCACTTTCACACAGTGAGAGCACTGTTTATTAATGTTTTAGGGGTTTTGTACTTTTAAGAAAATGGTCAATGCTTTTAACATACAAGGCATTACATAAAGCTTTCAATTTCAGTAATACCTCTCCTTTTATGTGTAGGAAGTTATATAAGGAAAAATAGTAGTAATAGTCCTTTTTTGTAAAAATCAGCAAAAGTTCATTGGAATAGACCGAACCTGTTGTTGCTTGTTTCAAAATCTGTTCCTGCTCTTTCAAACTCAAAACAAGACAGAAACAAAAAGAGTAAGGGAAAATTACAGCAAAGTAGAAAATCACTCCATCCGCTGTTCAAGCTCTGTCTTGCAGCTTCATTTCTGGCAAGAGACAAACACAGCATACACTGTAGGTCCCAGCAAACTTATAGTAATATCAGACCTTTTAAGACATTGCTCTCAACTGCTTTTCTGTCTGTTAGCTGAAGGCACTGATAGCAGACTTATTAAACAGAACACAAAAATGAGAAGAAAAAGAAGAAAATCACGGTTGAAAATTATATGAGTGCAAGTAACGGGAACAGCAGCAACCCCAGCATCTTGCTGCTGCCAGAGACTGTTCATGGCTTAGGAAGGACAAGGTGGTGGTGATGGCATCTAGACACCTCTGTATCATCTTCTAGCCAAGACAGAACTTTGTCTCAGGACCTTCAAGGCCTAACAATGTCTAAATGGATATTAATTTCAGTCCTAGGAACCAAGGAGTATCTTTAGCCATTTCTGTAATGTGCCATTATCAAGTTCTTACTACAATTTCTGCTGTCAATATCAAATTTTTCATTCCTTCTGACTTTTTCAGCAGAACGGATGGCAGTGGAAGCAGCTGTTCCTTTGATATTATGCTTGCCAAATACGACAATACAATTGGTATGGTTTTACCATGAGTAGTAACAGTAGATTTCTTATTTATATTAATGCATTCTTTCAGTCACTGACTTTTGTTTACTTTTCATGAGACAGTGGTAGGAGACAGGCTTGGACTTCTCTGATCTTAAACAACTGACACTACAAATTTCTGCACAATGTATCTTAAGAGATTAAAGTATTTTCTTTCCCTTACTCATTAAACAAGTTATTGTATGCAGACATGGCTTCATTAAAGCGAAAATTTTTGTGAGAGTTTCTCAGTCCAATTATAACTGTCTCTGAATATGTAACAGATCACCTCTTCATCAATTTCCGTACATTTATAACAATGCACAGTTGGAAATATGCCTTCAGAACTCTTAAGATGCCTGGTTTAGTGGTTAAATCACACAAATAAGCTTGAAATTCAGAAGAAATTAATTCCCTCTTTCACTTCTGTTGCAGACTTGGTTGTGAAATGGAAGTATTTCAGTTCTCTGAACAAATAGATCTAAATCTCATGCTGGTTTACACCCACAGTTTCTATTTCATATAACTGAAAAAAGTGTGTTGAGAATCTCTCCAAAGATTAAACATTAAGTATCCAGGAATCAAGACATTCCCATTCCAGATCACTTTTAAGAGGTGGATCAAAATCTCTGCGTACTTGTCTTGCATTTGTTAGTTATGGTTAGAGGCATCACTTGTAATTTGTTTAAGAATTCTTATATTGCGTGGTTTAGTGTTTTAGCTCACTGCTTTGCCTTTATCAATTTAGAATTTCAGTCTTCGATAACATCCCTCATATCCTTGATATTTACACTGACGTGGATTTCTCTGTTTAGTGCCTTCTTTTTCCTTTCTCCCCTAAATCTTCTATTTTCTCTGCAATTTCGCCATGTTGATCTTTATATATCTGTGTGCCTTTGAGTAAATGAAGGTTTAATTCATTAACATCTTTATATTGAGATCTTCTGCCGAAGAGCAAAAGCACCTAGTAGCATGCATTATATTTATACTCGTGTAAAGAGAACATACTCCACTTGAAAAAGTACAGACACCTAACATGCAACCTGAACACTCCACAACAGCTCCAGTAACTGAACCTGAACCAGGTCAGAAGATGAAGCTGCATTTTTGCAATGTACACAAGTTTTCCTGCTCTTTATTTCTTCCTATACTGGCATGTTCCATATATGAACATATGGAAAGCCTGTCAATAAGTGTTCATCATTAAATAATAATTTTTAAATTAATGTATATTCCTTATTTTTCTTTGCAGAAAGAGTATGTTTATTTGTGTGCTGATATAAAAAACATATGTGAATTTAGTTAAGTAATTTGACCTTGTTTATTTTCCTGGAAAAGCAACAGTATATCAACATAATGAATTTGGCATTTTTAAAGTATTACTGTAAACTAATATAATAATAATTCATAATTAAAGGGGTGCAAGGGAAGATGCATTAAAAAAATATGACACCATATTTGAGGAAAATAAAAAAAATCCTAAAGCATAATTATATTTTTAAAATGCAAAACATTTTAGAGGAGCATTGCCTTCTATATACTGCTTCTTTTCAGAAATCGTACTACCTGAGTTTGCAGACAATGATTTTCTAGATATGCCAGAAATGAAAATATTTAAAAAGAAGATTGACCGTTTCATGGAGGACTGGCAAACAGTGGAGTCAGAAATCAAGGACTCATCTCTAGTTCAGGTTGTTGTTTTAGAGATTGCTGAGCAAAGTCCAGAAAGTCTGCTTAATCAAACTGTGCTGGCTATGGAAAGTAAGTAATACTGTTTATGTGATTTACACTTAACCTGCTAAGAGGGATTTTGGAGAGCTTGTATGTTGAATATATGGAGGGGAGGAAAGGTTATACTCAGTTCTGTACTACTCACTTGAAGTCGGAACAGGACATGCTGTGTTCTGTGGGTGAGCTGAAAAGCACTCTCGCAGCTTTTAAGATATAGGAAGCAGGGAATATATACCTTTGGAAAATACATATATGACTGTACAAAAATGTACATAATAGCTCCCTAAACATTCTGACAGTACATTTCACCAGTTACTTGCTCTATCTGTTCACGTCAGGATACTGGTTTGATAAATGGACAGATAACAAATATTCACTAACATACAATATGTCAATGAGACTTTAAGGGTGTATAATAATCAAATCTACTCACCTGCATAGATTGTGTTTCAAGACCAGATTTTCATGGTATTGGGTTTTTTTTAATAAATTACCTTTCTTAACTTGCGTGCTCAAATCTCTAACAATTTTGAATACTGGATAAATAATACTACATTTTTCCTACCACTACGATGCAAGTGGTTTATTAACCAAAACATCTGTTGTGCTAGCTTTATAATAAAATAAAATTTGACCGATTACTTCCCATAATGAACAATAGGAAAAAACCTGTTGCAAACAGTAATGGCACTATCTGTGAGTGTTTATATAATACTTTTGCACTACAAGTTCCTATTGAAAATACAAATTTACTTCAACCAAAAAAAAACCAGTAGAGTTTCCATTTTTGGAGGAAGCAGTATATCCTACATCCAGGGAGAACATTACGTTCTATGAGTAGGAGAAATGCAATATACAATTGGCACAATTTGCTCTCACATAGGTGCTTAGTTTTATGAGAAAGAGATTATATTCTGGCATAGCCAATTGAAAAATATTGAAACAGAAAAAAATATTAACTATTTCAGAACCTTTTAAATATCATGGTTGGGAATTATCTGATGAAGACTTAGATGAGGAAGCAGAAGATCTAGGTGATGAAGGGGAAGATGAAGAAGAAGTTGGAGAAGAGGAAAGTGAAGATGAAGAAGTAAGCATGCTGCTTTGTCTATTTATGCTTTTATTTTAACTCATCTATTTTCAGTTTGAACATAACCCCAGAGAGGTCAGATTTTGCACCTGATTTTGTATGAACCCGTTTCAGTCTTTTTACAGAATAAATATCAGCATATGCTTCAGTTTTACTCCAGTAAGAGGCATAAATACCCCATGCTAGCAGAGAGAATGAATGTATGTAGTTTTTCTAGCTGGAAAAGAGGGCTTTATTAAAGAAACAAATGTGAACTTTGATTTCTGTCAACTTACAATGACTTTGTGAGCCATCATGTAAACATCAGAAAATGCAGAGTCTTAATATGCAACTCTCTGCTTCCTCTCGGCTATTCATAATTTTCAAACACCCACTTCAATGAAATTAAAGGTCTACACCTTTCTTTTATTTTCATCCTGTATTGGAAGATTCCCATCCCCAAATTTAACAGTACAGGATATCTATATAGAGGATATCCATATACTGTACTGGAGCAGTACTGAATAAATGTTTTAGAAACTTATTTTATTGGACAAGTAATCTAACTTCATAATACCAGCTCTCATTGCCTTTTCTGAAGAGGTCCACTTCTGCATATTTAGAAGCAACAGAAAGTGAGTTTCAAGAAAACAACAGGAAAAGATTTTATCATAGATACTTCTAGCCTGATTTTGGTCTTCAACAGCTAACTATGATATTATAATTTTAAATGGTTATTTTTTTCTCAGCAATTCTCTCACCAGATTGGACAGTTTGTTTTCTGAATCTAAAAGTGCATATTTTCATTGACTTATATTCAGCTTACAAACTACCTTGAGAATACCCTTTGCATTCAATGTTCAGTTTATGAAATTTGACATTACTTAATCTGATGTACTTGATCTGCTTAATCTAAGTGAACTACTGAACTCAGATTTTGAAATTTTTCATAATATTTTCAGGATGAAGAAAAAACTAAGGAAAAGAAAAGACACATGGGAGACACAAAACACTTTTGTCCCGTCAGTCTGAAAGAGAACTTTGTCCTTTACCCAGGACTCAATGAACATGCAGCTAAATATCAAGAAAAGATTTATTACTTTTCAACTTCTGAGTACAGAGATAAATTTTTGAAGAACCCTGAGGAGTATGTGGCTCACAATGAACCAATACAAGTGAGAATCTTCAAAATTGTTTAAAGCACATAATAGCAGATAAAATCACTATTTTCCATTCCAATTTATCATTGTTTATTATTGCTGGCTTTTTCTAGGTAACATTAATTGTATCGGGCAAGTCCTTGAAACAAATAAAACACATTGCTTCCCTAGTGAATATTTAGTGTATACTTAAATTAACATATTGGATTAATGATGCAAATAAAGCAGAAAAGAGAGGAAGATTATAAAGGCTTACAATAATCATAAGATGTGATTAACAAATCATACATATTGGGGGGAAGGGTTTACTACCTTTAAGTCTTTTTTTTTAAGTGGAAGAAGGGTAAAAGAAAGAAAGATTTACCAGAATTGTCTAATGAAGTTTCATTTTAACTGCCATAGTGTATTTGTTCAGCATTTCCAGAGAGCAAGTAGTCTGCTTGGAGCAGCAATAGAAGGCCTGGAAAAATTACAATGCAAAATTATGTGACTGCTTTGATACAATTTTTATAATATTTTGGAAGTGAAAAACATTAGGGGGTGCACTGTAGACTCCAAATAGTTACAAAATATATTTTTTTCCTATAGGCTCCTCCTTTACGGGTATGCTTACTTGGGACTCATGGAGCAGGTAAAACTACTTGTGCACGACAGATAGCAGACAAATTAGGCCTTTTTCATATTCAGTTTGAAGAATATCTGCAGGAATTGCTTTTACCCAAAACTAAAGAGAAAGTTGGGCCCTATTTGGATGAAGAACCTGAAGAAGATGACAGTATAATGCTAATTGTGTCACAGGAAGACTCCTCTCAGACCAGGACTAAAACTGAGACTGAAAAAAGCACACAGGTAATAATCTGATCCTTTTTATGGCCATACACAAAATAACCATTTAAAGACCAGAATAGGAATTTCCTATAAAATTCTAGCTTGATAAAAATCACTTGTGTTAAATTATTTACTTGAAATTTGGAAATAATAGTGCTTGGCAATGTTTTCTTATGAATACCACAAACATTCTTCAAAATATTTCCAAGAATTATGTATAGTTTGGGTTTTTTTCTAAATAGTACAGATAGATGCTAAATGGGACAAAGGAAGACAAAGTGAGAAAAAAAATGAAGGTCAGAAAAATATGGGAAGGTATGGCTTCCTTCAAGTATTTATAATATGCAGGTTCAGCCTGGTGCATGTGCTCCAATTGCACAGGAGTTTAGAAATGTTTGCCAGCAGCGTTCTACCAGCCCTTCACTCTGATCATCCCTTGAAAAAAAAATCAGAAGTATTTAGATGTTCATAACAGGGTAAGCTGGTATTTTTTAAATACAGTAGGGTTTTGTAATCTGGATTGTACTGTTGTCTTTGCCTATTTGCAGCAGTTTCAAACCAGAAAAAATCCTCTGAGGTAGCATAAAATATGCTTTGTAGTTAAAATACTGTTTCAAATAGCTGGATATCCATGATATTGGTAAAATAATTAATGGATGGTAGTTTTCAGGAAATGAGGTCTTTTTCTTAATCAGAATACTGGATAAAAATTGTTATAAATATACATTCTAAAACCTATCTTATGCGGAGTGTAATTTCACTGAACAATAAACATTTAGATAAATGATAATCAGGAGAGAGTGATTTCTCTTATTCGTTAGTGCTATTTCGAGAAAAACAGACAAGGTTTCAATGCAAATGAATTCTTCTTTAGACTGCAATGGATATTATAAAAGCCTTTATTGTGTGGAGAAGTCTCAACACAGGTACACAGCATATAAATGTTTCTAAAAATGCATAGTACAAAAAAATGAAAACCTACCTCCTAGACAACACAAATAAGGGTTTATCCAGCTTTCAAAGCTTCAGGAAGAACTCCGTTTCTACATCACACTCTAAGAGCCTTTTTTTTGTGCTCCTGATACCTGCCATGTTCCTTCAAGTTACTGCTTCTAAGACTCCCTAGTACAGGATCTAAGGAAGCATGCGGGGGGCACACAGGCTATAGAGGAGGCATCCAGGCACAGTATTAGGAACACAAGCACTCAGTGGAAGTGGAAACTAATAAGAGATCTGAAAGGTAGCACGAAGAATATCTACAGGAAAAACAGTGGCAAAGGAACACCTAGAAAATATGAGTCTGCCACTGAGCAGGGCAGGTGACCTTTTGAAGGAAGGTACTGAGGGCTGAGATGCTCAATGCCTTCTTTATTGTGGTCTTTACAAGCACAGTCTAGTTTGTGGCCTCCTAGGTTCTCTGTGCCTAGGAAAGCATGGGTAGAGTGGTACTACTCACCACACAATAGGATCAAATTTGAGATCACTTATGTAATCTGGACACTCAATGGAGTGCATTCATAGGTGCAGAAGAAGCTGACAAAGGCGCATTCAAGGCCACTCTCTATTGTCTTGGAAAGCAGGGGAGGTCCCTGATAACTGGAAGGTAGTGTTCCTGATGAAATAATACAAGAGCAGGTAATACTGGAAGCAAATCCTTCAACATAGATGGAGTACAGAACAATATCATGTATGGCAAAACAAAAATTTGGGTTTTCATCTGTTAAATCTAAGAGAAAGTTCTTTTGGCAAGTCAATTTAGAACTTGGTCATCACAGCCAAAAATATGGCAAGTGTTTCTGGCACTGATGGTTACGGCTGGCTCTCACTCAGCTTTATCTGTTTGGCACCAATACATGTTTTACACTAAGGCATTTCTGTTAGTATTTTTTCCTCATCACCTTTTTATCTGCTGGTAAACAGTCTTCTCCTACATTAGTATTTTTTTCTCGCACTTCTTGCAAAGTGCTTTATCTGACAGCATGACCAAAGCACAGCTGATGAAATTTCAGTTCAGTTTAGAAACCCATGCATGAAACTCTAGAGGATAATTTCCAAGGTTGTGGACTCCCTAAGCATTTCTCTGAGTATGACTATGGCCCGACTATCCGACTATCCTGTTTTCCACTGATCCACTACCTCTCCAAAATAATTTCATTTAATTTCATTTGTATCATCCTCTTTCACTTCGGCACAAGACACCAGAAGCCTATCTATCAAAGGTTAAGGTAAAGGTCAGATATAATGTTTAAAGCAAGAATACTAAAGGCAAACAAAACATACCAGGCAGTCTGGGAAGTTTAGCAAAAAGGTACCATCCTGGTTGTTTTAGTATGTGTCAAGCAAAGCCTTCACAGCATTGACAGGTCTGGGGAGCAACCTTGTCCTTCGAACCACCGCTATGTGGAGCGCTCTCTTTTCTGTACCCAGAATATATATATCATGTTTCTTTTCTTTTATCAGATGCAAATGCCACTTCAATAGCCTATCTGCCATGGTGATGTCAGTGATACTCTCTACAGCTTCTACTGTTTTCTCCCACTTCACACATTTCTTTCCAGATGCCCCTGTGTTACAGATCAGGCTACCACTTCACCTTCTTAGGTGACCATTATGCCATACTAGCATCTTTTACTATATATTCTGTGTCAGGCACTGGAGAAAATATTACTGACACACACACACTACATTAGACCTGTGGCTTCTAGCATATTCTCCAGTCCTTTTGGCTACATTATCAAAATAGATGTCAGGCATAGGAATTCTTATTCAGACATCTCTTCGCAGCAAGCAGGTCCCTACCATTGTTTTGAGGGTTCCTGAATCACTTTGGATCCTTTTGTTAAAAAGGGTTATTCCTTTATTTTCTGACAGGTTATGCTAACAAATTCTTGAGCAATTTGGGTTAATACAACTACTACATGAGGAAAGGACAGCAGAACTTTGTAATGAATTTCAGGAGATAATTTAAATCCATTTATTGAGAGAGACAGGAGAATACCTAGCTGCATATCAAGTTTTCTCTCCAAGTGATTTTGGATGCAACTTAGGTACATGTTTGATGGCCATCAACATTTCAGAAACATACTCCTTTGGTAGTGTGTATCTAGTCTTCTTAAACAAATAAAAATTACTTTTTACAAATAAGACCTTTATAGGGCATGACAGAAAAAGCACTGAACTCATTAAAGGATACCAGATACATTTCTCTTAAAAACTTTGTCATTGTGTTTTCAGGAAAAAAAATCAAATAACTAGAAAATATTATTTTCTTCTGTTAATATGACAATGAAAAAATAACACAGCAAGTCAGGAACAGTGGTATTTTCCGACTTTTAATGTTGTCTTTTATCCGATATACTTGTAAAAAGATATATTTTGATGTTATGACTGATTTAAACTAATCCAGAATCAAAAATCTATACCCTCTTGTCATTGTTTTTTACCTCAGTTTGTGTCAGGAAGCCATATCAATCTCACAGTGTTACATATTCTGAAAATACAGTTTTTCACAGGACCTTAACATCCAGATTTGGTATTTGAATGCTCTGCATTTGACTAGTCATGAATACTACTACCCCTCTGTTGAACAACGCTGCCTCTCTGTGCCTATATCCAGTAATCTTGCATATCTTTCTTTGGATTGCATCGGAAGATAAAAGTTGCTTTTAAAAAGCAAAAAACCATTTTGATGTCAAGCAGATAGACATTCAGCATGAGGACATGTATAACTAAGTGGGAAACTTCTTGTAGGCAATTAGGACAAACTGTGATCATTTCAGTTTCTATTCCTCTGCATTGAGCATATGTATGATTAAATACTTAACAACTGTGCTTGGTTTTAGGATTCATTAAAACTTATACAGCAGCAGTTGCCCCAACTCTAGGGAATTACCCAACCTCAAGCACGTAGAAAATATCCCAAAATGTATAATGTAGTACAGTGAAATGTAGCAAATGAGTATATTTCTGCTGGTTTAAATTAAATCAAATGAAGACAGTACCTTACTTAGCCAAAAAACAATAAATTCGTAAGGTAGATATTTCTTTCTTCATGTGTTGGGTTTTTGTTTGTTTTTGGTTTTGTTTTGCTTTTTTTGGTTGATTTTTCTTTATGTAAAGGAAGTGGAGTTAACTGATGAGGAAGAAGCAATCAAAGCAAATCTAATGCATAATAAGGCACTGCCTCCAGAAGTCCTTGATAGCATTGTTCTTGACTGGTGGAAGAAAGAGCCATTCCGGTAATTGTAATTAGATTCTCTCTTTCTTTAATTAATCTAAGGAAGTATATAATCCATGTCTACAATTACAAATAACTATTGCAGTGATTATTTCAATGCTCTTGTATTTCTTATGAATCATGACCTGCCTCAGTCTTGGTTTTGTTGCTCTATTTTGATTGATATTTTGACAGTAACATAATGTCTCATGTGCTCTACACAGGACTGGACAAAAGTACTTAGAGTACTTGAATTGGATTAAATTTTCTGAATAGACAGGTAGTTTTTGTGGGCTTACAGGATAGATATGTAAATAAACATTTTATGTTTTCAAGTAATTAATAAACAGGGAGAGCTGGAACCCAGCTGTAACTGTCAGTTTCCATATATTGTAAATATTGTGTGGAAAGCAAAAACAAAGCATCAGTGGTCTCCAAAATAAGACAGAATCAGGTTATCTTGTGCATTCATCACAATCTGTACTGCAGTGATGCATACACAACAGACTTCCTTTCATATCAGAAAGTACTTCCATGACACTGTGATAAATGTGGATTGTTGTTGCATCAATAAATAAGATCACTGACTCCTAGAAAGCAGGCTGGCTTTTTAAGATGTAATTTCAGCAGGGAAAATACCTTTTTCCATGTCCTACCACTTCCATCCATTTCCACCCAGATCATAGCTGCTGGTAGATTGACCGTTAGGTTTCAATTCCAAACAGTACGACAAATGCCTTAAAAATAATAAACAAGATCCTCAAATAAACTTTTGTCCTGTCAGCCCACAGATAGGGAACAACATTCTGTTAATGGTGTAAAAATAAGGAGATCAGTTTTAGGAAAAATGCACCATAACAAAAAAATACCCAGCCATAGAGGTTTCCAGACATATGTGACCTGTCTTTAATATCTGCAGGAAGGGAGATGTAGGTCATGCTAAGTGGCAAAATTCACATCCTATACTAGAGAAAAAATTGTCAGGCATTTCTGAAAAATTAATTTTCAAGCAGCAAGATTTCTGTGGCAGATGTTATTAAAATTCTATTTTTTGAAAGCAATGCCTAAGTAGCACTGTTTTTAGAGTTACACAAGCAATACTGAGGACACAATTTATTTCAGATTTTAAAAGTTCTTTTTAAATATTAACCTCTGCACATTAAAGCTTCAGAAGAAATACATTTGTTAGTACAGCAATTAAAATATATAGTTAAGTATCAGTTTTGTATTGTCAAAAGATAATAATTGAAAGTATTTTTTTAAATTTACTCTTAACATAGGCACTTAGTAAGGGAGTTTACTTTTTTTTTTCAAATTAATTGCATTTTCACTGTGTTGCACTTTAAACTACATTGTGTAAAGATAAATACCTTCTTTTCCAATTAGGTCCACAGGATTTATATTGGATGGTTTCCCTCGTACTTTAGATGAAGCTCAGTACTTGTCAGAACAAGGACTCTGTCCTGACATTGCAGTTTATATTCAAGTAGAAGAAAGCGACGTTCTTGACCGTCTTTTTCCTCCACGTCTAAAAAAATGGAAAGAAAGGCAGTATAAAAAAAATTGAAAATAAAAAGAAACTGAAAGACCTGAAAGCAAAAATAAGGGTAAGTTTTCAGTCTTGTCTCCTTTTTCAGCAGCCCAGGTCTGAACACAGACTCTAAAACTCCCAAAGCAGTGAAGAGCACAGAGAGAGAAACGGATATGGGAGCCAGGAGAGACAGCTCCACACATTCACAGCATTCCTAGATTTACCATCGGAACCAAAAAGAATTTAGGGATTCTTTCCTCATCTGGGCAACTGAGGAACCTAGGTCAATTGAGGACCTGCTAGGTCAATTGAACACAC